TCGAGACAAGCTCTGGTGCACCGGCCAGTGGTGATTGCTGTGGCAGGGAATGTCAGAAGATCCTTACATCGTTGCAATTCAGATTATTACCATCATTCTTGCGAATCCTGTGACCATGTCATTCTTGTTCCTTCGCATCTGAAGACTCGCAGGACAGGCAGTGAGATGCGCTCAAAGGGGCGCAAAGTTTGCGAGAGGGGACCCGAAGCGTGTGCGAGCAACAGGGCGTCCGAACACAGGAATTCACACCTGCTGCAATCAACATGCAGAAGACGTCCGGATACGAAGCTGCAAGGGAGGCTGCAACTTTTGCAAAAGCGTGGGCCCTGCTTCGAAATCGCCCGCTTCCCGCTCTTCACCGGGGGCGACGCATCAAAACCGGCAGTCACGGATGAACACATACCCATTGAGAGCCGGTGCAGCCGGAGAATTGCCAGGAACCTTGATCGCGGTCGTCGGCAATGGCTTTTCGCAGCAGGGGCGCCTGCCGTGACCTCAGAGCCGATTTGGCAACAGCCTGATGCCCGAATTGGGCCGCCCAAAACCCTAAAACACCCAACCTTCTTCAACATTCTTCAACCTTACTTGACCCTGAACCCAGCCTATACTATGTTTTGCGCTGCCTTCCTGAGGTCTTGTGCATTTGCCATGGCCTCAGGGTGTGCGTGGACTTGACCAAGTGTCTCTCTCTCTCTCTCCCTCCCTCTTCCTCTCTCTCTTCTATGTCTGCGCGTGCTACGGGAGTCTGGGACGTGGGGTTTAGCAGTTCAGGTTGTGGTTTAGGATTTCCTGGCAGAGGCCGCGCGTGGGGCTTTGCTGGCTCGTCTCAGGATGATAACTTGTACATGCCCGCCCGCTTCTTCAACGAGAGCTTGATCTACTGTGACCCGGGAGTTCGTTCAACAGGTTGACGGTTGGACAGCTGTTAGGCCTTCTGCAGAGACTTGCGAGAATGCTACAGACCAAGACACAGGAGGTCGTAATTAGAGCAGCAGGCCCCACCATGCCACAGGTACAACGCCCGCCTACCATCCGGCAGGCAGGGGGCAGCATCGAAAGCTTTTCGTCAGACAACTGCCTCTCGGGGTCGACTAAAATTTCAAGCATCTGTTGCCAAAGGAAAGCCGTGAGGAACCGCACGCGACTCTCTGGTGGTTCTGACTTTAGCCCAAAGTCCAAACCCCAAACAAACCCCCGATGCCCTCTAGGTTCCCCTTGCTGACTGCTGACAGGAGTTTCGAAGCTCAAGGTGGCAAGTTGGTTGCACGAGCTCGGAGCTCGGCCCTTGAGCACGCTGTGCTCGTCATGCTCAACGCAGTTTCCCATCCCGGCAATAAAAAAAATAGCCTTAGCACAATATAGTATAGGAATGTAGTAAAAGTATTCTCAGAAGGGTCTGAAGGTAACCCGAATGGAACCCCAACCCTCCAAGCTCAGAGCCCAAAGCCCAATTGGTTGCAACCGAGGCTCTCGGTGACGTCCGTGGACTTCACTTTCTATCCCAAGCAAGCCACTGAGTTTGATGCAGGTCTTCTGATGGTGACACATCCGTGGCCGACCGTCGCCTTCACTACTACTGTACCTTCTGGTGGTGGGTGTCGGGCTGCGGATTTATGATTCCGAACTAGTTTCTAGACCTGCACATGGCATACCCGAAATCCTCAACCCTGGACCTTGAAACTAGCTAGCCTGCCTGTAAGGGCTGAGCAGGATGGAAGGGATTTCAGACATAAGACCCCGAACCCTAAACCCTAAACCCTAACCCTAAACCCTAAACCCTAAATCCTACCCTAAACCCTAAACCACGAACCTGAATGCTCAGCTCTCTGCTGAGGTGGGCTTTCTCACTGCAGCAGGACCTGCTGCCTGTTAGTTCTTGCCAGGCCTTCCCACACCCTATCCACCCCAAGCTCCGTACCCGACGTCTTAAATCCTAAGACATAGACTCCTAATTCACAAACCAAGGGGGGCACCCACATTTCACTCCCAGGAGGCCACATGCTTTTCGGGCGACCTCGGGGACAGCGTGGTGCTGTATGCTCGGGAGGCATTCGGGCTTCGGCTTTAGTTTCGGGTTTGGTGGTGCGCTGCGCCTGCAATGTTTCAAGACACCTCCAAGCGCTTCCTTGTAACTAACAGCTTATTAGTCACATCCCATATAAATCCGGCCAGGCAGAGTTCCTTCAGTGGCAATACTCGGTCTACGAGGCGTTGTGCATGTTCACCGCGGCGCCTTGGAAGCATCGAAGACCTGTTCCGAACTCTGTGCGCCCACTTGACAGACTTCTCTTGAAGGTATTGGTGCTGGTAGGAGTAGGTAGCAGCAGAGGCATGTGCTTGTCAAGCAAAGACCTAAAACCTTAACCCTTGTTCCCGTCGTCCATCGTAGAAGCGCCCACGAGGTCGGTCCACCCATGGGAGTCTTCGACACCAAGGCGCGCGAGCACGGGGACTAGCTCAGGGTTTCAAGGGGTTTAGAGCCAGGTTACGGCTTGGGGTCTCCAGAACTTTACACCCCAAACTGCCGCTTCAGCCGGAGACTTGAAGTCCAAACAGGCCACGATCTATGCTTGGAACGACACCTTGAGGGTGGTGTGCCACGTGCCCAGTTCTGCTGCTGCGGGTGGAAAGCTGTGCAGAGGAGGGGTCTCGGATGCCGAGCTGAGGGCCGTAGGTATCGAGATTGGATCTGCTCGATGCCTAGGTCCTTGTCCGCCTCTGCCAAGACCGCAGAATGGGATTGGGGTGGGGCTCTTATGCTCCGCCTGCCCCATTGCTGGAATGCCTGGCGAGTCTTCGGCATTGTTAAGGAATCGATGAACGTGTCGATCTCCTTGGATGGGAAAGCCACGGTCAGCGACGTGCTAGGCATCGCGCTTGGAAGCAGCACCGCAGGAACCGTCCGCTTGAGTCCCAAGACAGCACAGTTGCTGTACACGGGGCATAGGGTTTAGGCTTGTGTGTCTGGGGTTCAGGACAGACTGGGACAAGATTGATCCAGATGGGGGTTTCCGAAAATAGGGGACCCTAATATAGTACCCTAAATAGTAGGACCCTTATTATAAGGACCCCAAAATAAGGTATCCCTAATTTTCGGAAACTCCCAGATGGTATCTAGATGATCCTGCCAAGGCCAGCCTGTTCGGATCCTGCCAGCACCAACAATTGTTGACATGGCCTGGGCCTCAGCCCTGCGGCACCTGCAGCCTAGAACATGAACTGATTTGAACCGTTGCCCGAACCCTAAACCCTAAACCCTAAACCCCGAAACCCAAAACTTCCTAAGACCTAAATGCTCGTCTCTGCAGACCCCTACGGTGTGGACGACCGGAGAGTCCTTTGAGTTGAAGATCACGGGGGTTGACTTCCCAACATCGGAGGAGGCGCTTCCAGCAAACTGCGGGCTCTCCACAACCACAGCTTTCTGACCTCATTAGTTCATAATCTACATATACATATCTTATATATATATATATGTATATATTAAGATAATATTATTTATAATATATTATGTATGACTTATCATTAGAAATGGCACGTAAAAAGACATTACACATTGCATATTACGCATTATATGTTATATTATATGTTGTATATTGCTCTTTACGTACTATATTTTAGATGATACAAATTGTTTTATACTTTATCATCATATATTATACAGTACAATTATCATATCATGTAATATTAAAAATACACATTGTATTTTAATACATAATGTACTAGGTATCAGATCTCAAATATCATATAATCGTGTATTAATCTGTTTTATGTTATATACTAAATGTTCTATTTTCTATACTTTGCATTCTTTCAAACATCTATATATGTATTGTACATTCTGTGTTGTAGGTTATATGTTACTTTCTTCTTATATTGTATTCTACTGTATCATATTACAACTCAACTCTTTAGCTTTACGGTTTCACAAGCTAGGGCCCTGGACTCCAGAAGCCCTCAGCTCTGGGAGGTGGAGATGGCATGCATCTTCTTCGACCACTCTGCCCAAGGTATGGGAGTTTCCGAAAATAGGGGGTACCTTATTGGGGGTCCTCTTTATTATCTGGATCCTACTATTCAGGGTACGATATTAGGGTCCCCTATTTTCGGAAACCCCCGTATGGGCTGCATGTCACCTTTCGCTCTCTGGGGTGTCTGGTGGCTAGGAATTCAAGGCGCTATAAAACCTATGCCCTGAAGCCCATTAAATGGGTTTGGGGGTCGGGAAAGCCGCAACTTCCAGCAAGCACGTTCTGTCACCAGCTTGTCGTCGGAGCTTGGCCAACGCAGGTTTCATCTTCGAGGCCTTTGGAGTGCAACAGGAGCTGATGTGGCGGAATCTGGTGCAGGACTTCCAGCATGGCTTGTGGTACTTGCACGCCTAGTAGCCTAGTTACAGCATGAAATCCGAAGCACTAAGCCCTGAACGGTATCTAGTTTTGTTCTTGATGCGACTTCAGCCTCCCATCTTTTAGCAAGTCGTATGGCCAAGACTACCGAAGCTGAGGGCACAGACTGCAAGTTTTTGGGGTTGGGCATGAACTCCGAGAGAAATGGCAAGGTTTCTTGCCTGGCAAGCAATGGCAGAAGGATGCCCTAACCACGAGAACCCACTTCCTAGACCCTCAAGGCCTAAAGCCCTGAAGCCAAACTCCTCGACATCCGTCAGGATGCCTGCCTGGACGTTCCAGAAGTGCAGTGGACACACCAGTGGCCGCGAGCTCGCTGGCAGACTGCGCTTTTAAGTGTGAGATGTTGCAGCCTGCTGAGGCAAGATGTTCGAGAGCCGTTCTGCGCACATGCAGGCAATGGGATGAAAGTGCACAGCAGCTGGGGACCTCTGATCTTGTGCTATGTTGGAGCAGAAGAGCTGCTTGCATGACCCTCGGCTTTGGAAGGTGCTCCCATGAACTGGAGCGGAGCCTTAGCCATGAACTCCGCGGAATGGCTCTCGGACAGCGAAATTCGGTGCCATGTCCCAGCTCTGGCGATGACGATGAGGCTGCTCTTGGGTTGGAGGGTGTGGGGTTGCGAAGGTGTATCATTGCAGAGGCTTTGCTTCCGGTGAGATGCCATCTCGGTAAACGGACTACCCTACCCCGACTACTGGTAGTAGTAGTAGTAGTAGTAGTAGTAGTAGTAGTAGTAATAGTAGTAGTAGTAGTAGTAGTAGTAGTAGGAGTAGGAGCAGCAGCAGCAGCAGCAGCCGCGACGACGACGACGGCGGCGGCGGCTGCTGCTACTGCTGCTCCTACCGCTCCTGCTCCTGCTCCTACTCCTCCTACTCCAACCGCAACTGATACTGCGGCTGCGACTGCGACTGCTACTCCTGCTGCTACCTCTACTGCTTCGACCAGCACTACCTCTTATGGTTCATGGCATCTTCGGGCCAGGGGGAACATGACGACAGACCGTTCGCTGACGGTGTTCCTTGCGGCCAAGCACAGCACGGGCTTTCGGACGCAGGCTCGAGTCGACTGAAGGAGGGCTTCGGGCCTGGAGAAGGTCTCTAGGGTTTCGGTTCATTGGGGTTTTGGGGCTTAGGATTCAGGCACGGTTTAGGTGGATGCTGTAGCATTGGGGATATGGGAGCTTGGAGTCAGGGTTCAGGGTGGCGTGGGGTGGAGTGGAAGCTTTCAGGTCAGCACTCTGCCGAACATCCACCTTCTGCCTCCGGTGCAGATTCTCCGCGTGGAGCCTGAGGCGAGACTTCAGTCACGTTAGCTTTTGGAGTCTGTGCACATGCAAAATGTTCCAAGACGTCCTCACCCTCCACCGTTGGTTATGTCTTTCTTGCTCACTGCCTTTCCCTCTCTCCACCTCCTGTCTCCTCAACACCGCGTTTCCGCATCTGATACGCCTCCGTCGTTGAGCTGAGCCCTAAACTTCTGAACCCCACGTGGTCAGATCATGGCGGTGGTGGAGCGCAATGACACCAGCAGCGTGCCCCTTTTGTACCTGCGAGTCTTTGGTGAGTCGAAATCTCAGTGCGCAGAAGAGACGAGGGCGTTGCGTGCTTTGGTCTTTGCGTTTTGGCGATGGTGGTCAGTGGTTGTGTTCATGACCACCACCATAATCCCTGTCCAAGGGAGCATTTTCTGAAGCATGCCGCGCGAAGCCGGACGAAGCAGCCTGGCACCCAGGAGGGGTTAGAGTTCTTCTACGACTGGGCTGTAGCTCCGGTTTAGCATTTCCTTTCTTAGCGTTCTAATCTGTGGCTCTTGGATTGCCAAACCCTTAGTACTGATACTGAGACAGAGGCATGTCGAGAACGATAGTAAAGAGCCTGGACAAAGTCATTGCCACGGCGACTGCGCCTGCAACGCCTAGGACCTACGACTACACGACCACGACCACCGCCGCTGCCACCACCACCACCGCCACCACCACCACCACCACCACCACCACGGCCACCGCCACCGCCACCGCCACCACCACCACCGCCACCACCACCACCACCACCACCACCACCACCACTGCTAGTAGCAGTAGTAGCAGTAGTCGTAGTAGTGTAGTAGTAGAAGAAGCAGTCAGTAGTAGTAGTCGTCGTCGTCGTCGTCGTCGTCGTAGTAGTAGTAGTAGTAGTAGTATGTTGTTGTTGTCGTAGTAGTAGTAGTAGTAGTAGTAGTAGTAGTAGTAGTGTAGTAGCAGTAGTGGTAGTGGTAGTGGTAGTGGTAGTGGTAGTGGTAGTGGTAGTGGTAGTGGTAGTGGTAGTGGTAGCAGCAGCAGTAGTGGTTGTAGTCATAGGGGTAGTTGTGGTAGAGGTGGTGATAGTGGTGGTAGTGGTGGTGCTGGTGGTGGTGGTGATAGCGGTGGTACTGGCGGTGGTTTTAGTGGTAGTGACAAATTTTAGTACTTTTGGTGGTACGTAGTAGGAGCATGAGTAGGAGCAGCAGCCGCAGCAACAGCAGCAGCAACATCAGCAGCAGCAGCAGCGGCAGCAGCAGCCGCAGCTACGCCGTCGTTGGCATCGTCGCAGTTCTACTTCCACGACTTCCAACCCAAGACTGCAGACCAAGGTCTTGGCAACACCCGCCCCAGATTCGTCTGCGTTGTGGTTGTGGCTGTCGTCGTCGCAATGGTATTGGCATGGTGTTGTGGTGATGGTGATGGTGATGCTACTGGTGCTCTTGGTGGTGGCAGTAGAAGCAGTAGTTACTTGGAGTATCGGCGAACCTAAGAACAAGTGGCATACTAATCAGACTAACAGGAATGTGTTTGGAACTTGCGAATACTCCGGTAGGTTCAGAGCACCAGCAAGCTGTGCTTCGTTGCCACTGCTTGCTTGGGAACTAGCATGATGAGGAGTATATCTACCCGTCCCTTTGTTCGTATTATCAGGTAGTGAGATGCTACGGGGTCCGCTAACAGAATCGGCCTTGGACCGAGGTGTCGTTTGCAGTGGCAGTTCCCTGGTATGGAGGACCACCTTTCCGACATTAGCGCTTGGCTTTGAGGGTTCAGGGTTTTCAAGCTTTGGGTTTGGGGGTGATGGTGCTTGCGCTTGCTATCAGGAGCGGCTTCTGACAGCCTTTGTGGTGAATGAGACAGAGGCAGGAGCAGACTTGCACCATCTTTGCATCTCTGTTCATAACGATTTGTGTGGACATGCTTGGCAGGTGGTCTGCCAAGTACCGCAGTATCTGAAACTTTGCTGCAGCAAAGTCGATTCGGGTTGCCACCTGTCACATTGCAAGTAGCATAGTAGCTCCGGCCTGGCTTAAGCGAGGTGCCTGCCTGGATGTCCAAAATTGCAGTGTGCCATCTCATAAGAAGGACCCCCAATCTTTGAAGAACCACATGTATATGTGCGTGTTTATGTATATATGATATATGTTTATAGAATAATTACACTACACATATATGCACATGTGCCATATGTGCTGGCTCCGCTAGAGTGAAGGTCAGTTGGTAAGAAGGTTTCGCCCAGATCATGTCAGTCTATCTGTTGTCCGTCCGTCTATGTATCTCTGATTGCTCTCTGTCTCTACGGACCTCTGTCTGTATCTGTCTTGAGCTATCTGTTTCGATGTCCATCTACCTATCTATCTACCTCTGGGATCTATATGTCTGTCTGTCTGTCCGTGTGTCTGTCTGTCCGTCGGTCCGTCGGTCCGTCGGTGCGTCGGTCTGTCTGTCTGTCTGTCTGTCTGTCTGTCTGTCTGTCTGTCTGTCTGTCTGTCTGTCTGTTTATCTACATATGCATGTCATGTAAGTTGGTATGTCTGGATGTATGTATGTTTGCATGAAGTCATGCGCGTTTTTATTTGCCTAGCTTGCACCAACTGAGGCTCTACCTGAACGAGCAGCTGGGGGCTCGAAGCAAGTGCCCTGCGTCACATGTTCTGCTGTTTAAGCCTGGGTGAAACTGTCTGCTTGATACCCTAAGTGCCTAGAGGCTTGAGGCCCACGAAATCAAAACCTCGGAAGCCTCTCTGCCCCTCTGTGATTCAGGGCCTACTTGTCGCTGTCCGTCGACGGCATGCTCTGGTCGAACTCCCTGCCCGTCTTCTTCATGAGACAGGCAGCGCGAGTTGCAATCCCAAGAGTTGCCATGTAGCGCAGCACGCCATCCCGCACGATGTTGCTGTGGAGACGGCTTGTTTAATCTCGGGCATCAACTCCTGAGCTTCAACACCCTGAATCCAGGAAGAAAGCAGAATCATGTACATGGTTCCCCTAGAACCAGGACCTAAACCTTCAGACTCACAGACCTAAGTAGGACTTAGGACCTATGTGGCCTTAAAGGTCCGCCTGGAGATCGCCAGCCCTACTCTGGTGCCCCCTTTCACGCCCATCACGCTGAACATCACGGGCACTTTCGAGTCCCTGCAGCAGTACCAGGCCTGGTATATATATATATAGATAGATAGATAGTTGTATGCTGTGTATGGTGTGTATGGTATGTATGGCAGGTGTGCTATGTATGCTATGCATGACGAGAGGAATTACATGGTATGGTGTGGTATGGAATGGGATTGCATGGCATGGCACGGGTGGCATGGGATGGCATGGTCTGGTCTGGCATGGTCTGAGCTGGTATGGTATGCTATGTACCAAGCCCTAAAGCCAACCCGAATGAATTGTGGAAGTCTTGGCAGATCTTGCGCCGCGCGACGCAGATTTGGTGTGACTTTGGGGTGCCTACAGAAGCCGCAGCCACAGAGTCGTTATCAGCGCTTTTGCGGTTTAGGGTTGAGGGTTTAGGGTTTAGGTTGTGCATTCAGGGGGTAGGGCATGGAGTGTAGAGCTCAGTTTGATGGATTAAGTTCCTGTCAATCGCGTTGCCGTTTTGCATAATGTGGTGGTACATGTGAACCTATAGGTTGGCAGGCCGTACTGACTGTCTGCAAGTATTTCTACGAAGAATGCTAATGTTGTTAGTAGTACTGTTATTCTCATGTTTACTATCCGTTTGAGAGTACGTTTCAAGCGTTACAGTCGGAGCAAGTGTAGCAACAAACCATTGTGCTTAGAAATCTCCCACCTCTTGCTTCCCAGCACCGTCAGTGCAAGAGTCAATAGATGCCGATACATGAACCCTAAACCCTAAACCCTAAATCATCATGCCTCAACCAACATGGTATTCCGGACACCTTATCAGGCGAAGGAAAAGAGGTGATAAAAAACCCTAAACCCTAAACCTTAAAGTACGATATGCTACGATATCCGCAGCCACGCTACTGGCACAACCAATACTTTGGACTAGGGCAGCTCCAGCTTTGGGGGCACTGAGAATCATAAGATGCAGCTGCTGTTTGGGCTGCTTCGTCGTTCTCTTTTTTTCATGGGCCGTTCTCTGAAGCCTCGCTGAGCTGAGGGCTGAGAGCAGCGGCACAATCAGGAAGGAACAGTACTAGGCAGACTCATGAGGATTTGCATTGTAAGAACCAGAATGAGAAGGTACCACTGCAGAAGACTAGCAGAGAGGAGAAAATGCTCGTCTTCCTTTGGTGCCACCGTTTGGCTTTCGGCGGAAGCCCACTCGGTCGGGTGTTTGAGGTTGATTAAGGTTGAGGTGTGGGTCCCAGGTGCCGGCATTGGCGACCGCGACACTGGATCCCAGCGTCCTCCCAGGACTTCTACCAGGTTCAGGGCCTTTCGCATGCGCATGGTTCACACTAGAAGCTTGGGCACTCTCGCCGAAAACGGACAGTACTTTGCCCGCCGGCTCCTACCCGTCCGTGCGAAGTTTATCGTTTTGGGCTTCCGGGCTTTCGGGATTTAGGGCTTCTACAAAGTCACTGCGCGGATAAATTGAGGGTTCCGGGACCCAACATCTTAGATTCATATTCAGACCAGTCTTGCTAGCTGTAGGATCCGTATGCACCCAAAGAGCAGCAACAATCGTGGAAACGTGGCATAATATCCCCCTTGACACACTTGACAGTGAATCTAAGGGTTTTAGGAGGGACCCTTAATAGGGACTCTTGTAGGTTATTGGGGTTAATATGGGGACTACCTGGCTATATAAGGGGTATATAAGGACCCTACAATGGGTATCTAAGGTAGTGGGATTAAGGGTCCCTATTGGGGGTCCCTCCTAAAGTCCTTAGAGTGAAATAAGCGCGAGCCAGATTGGTCCTTGAACTGCTCTGGCTGGGTGATAGCTCTAGCCAGCACCGTGTTGCAAAGGCGAATGTCAACTTTGGATCAAGGCTTTTGAGGCGATCCCTGGGCAAAAGGCCATAAGACATATATTGCTATGTAATATACTTCATGAAAAGACTATTATTTTAATTCATCTCCTCTAACAGGTAACCCTTCACCCTAAGCCTCTTTCAGTATATCTAGCTGTCTGAGTCTGGTGTGGACCTATACTTGTCAAAGAGCGGTCGCGCACATCGCCATGGTGTAGCCGCAGCATGAAAACTCAGGAAGACATTGCACAGGCGGTTGCAGAGGTCGATCTGCGCGTGAAGACTGGATGGCTTTCCAAAGAGGAAGCTCACAAGCTAAAGACCTTGTTGAAGATGGGCCAGACGATAGAGCGATCCACGGACAAGGCATCGCGGTTTTGGACTCACAATGCTGACGTCATGTTAAAGCAATACCTCCTACTCAGAGAGGAGAACACACCTTGGAAGAAGTTCCTGACCGCGATCGGCTACACTTGGCTTCAGAGGCAGTTGAAGGAAGCAGATGCCAAGAAGAGCGAGGAGGTTAACACAAGCCTCTTCGTTCACATTGTGGAGTCAGACTACTTTGAATCCGCCATGGGGCTGGTGATGCTCGCGAATGCCATCATGATCGGCTTCCAGGTTTCCAGCACCGAGGAGGATGAGTCCAGCGCAGAGCTTTACGCGATCCTCGACTTTGTGTTCACCGTGATTTTCGTGGTGGAGCTGGTCTTACGCTACTGTTGCGAAGGATGGAGATGGTGGTTTCGAGGTTCCAACATCTTCGACGTCGTAGTTGTGTTAGCCACAAACGTAGTTCCCGTTTGGATCCTGGTGCCGCTTGGAATTGACCCTGCCTTGATACGGCCGTTTGCGGTCCTGCGTTTATTTCGGCTGGTCAAGCTGATGAAACTCATCAGAAAGTACAGAAGTCTCCGTACACTCTGGAACCTGTTCCAGGGGGTCCTCGGAAGTGGCAAAATTCTGCTCTACACGGTCCTGGTGATGGGCACTACATTGTTCATTTGGTCAGTGCTGGCTGTCGTCTTGATAGGCCAGGACCCGAGAACTAAAGACCATCCCGACGTGATCTTATACTTTTCCAACGTCCCTGACGCGGTTTTCACGCTCTTTCAGATCGTGACCTTAGATAGCTGGTCGGCCATCGCTCGACCTATTGGGGCCTTGAACCCCCTGGCAGCTCTCCTGATTGGCATGAATATTGTTATCGTTGAGATTTGTTTGCTGAATCTGGTCACGGCCACCATTGTGGATGCAGCCTTCAAGCGACAGCAAGACGACCATGAGATGGTCGCACAGGAGCAGAAGATCAAGAGCGACCGGCTCATCGAAGAGGTCCGGACCCTCTTCATGGAAATGGACAAGAGCGGGACGGGCAGCCTCAACTACGAGGAGTATCTGGACGCCGTGAGTGAGAATCCCCAGATCCAGACCAAGTTTACCACTTTAGAGATCGACGATGCCGAGGACCCTCAGAGACTCCATACTCCAACGAGAGGGCTCAGAGATATTTTCAACCGTCATAACATTGAGACTCATCCCCGGGAAGTAAGACTGCATTGCAAAAGGCAGCTGCAAGCGCAAAGAGAAGAACACGGCAACACTGCTTCTCGTCATACTGTGGTTCGAACTCTGTCAGTAATACTCTTATGAGTGCCGATGCTGTCATGCTGGTTGCTGCAGCAGCTGGTTCGATTTGCTGCTCCTGCGGCGACGCCGGTACCACGTCGACTGAATTTCCAATCAACCCTAGTAACACAATCGCTAGTGGCAGGCCTCTTCTTGACATCTGAGAAGATGCGTCTACGAGTATTGATCATCAGAATCGCCATCGTCGTAGCGGCTATGACAAATGTTTCTAAACCATGCGAGACAATTATGGTTAAGTGTTAGAGATAATGTTACGTACAGAGACAATGGCTCTCCGCAAGTCGTAAGGTCGTGAGAAGCAACAGACAAGCCTCGTTATGACAGGAGCTTTGGGAGTTGATCGACCTGGGTACAGGCAGCATCGAAGTCGACCAGTTCGCCCAGGGCCTACGCATCATCGCTGGGGAGGTCAAAGCGAAAGATCTTTTCACCATCAACCGAAGGGTGGGTAATGCCCTGAGGCGCCTGCAGGCAGCGGTCTACGAGCTGCCTGGTCCTTATTGATTTAGTAGTTTAAGTGCCGATAAGAAGGAAACCTTATTGATCACTATACATCCCAATTATCACCCAGGATGGAGCGACAGGAGGCCATCGCTGATCAAATGCAGGAAGACATCCACGAAGTCACCCGCCAGCTCACCAAGTCAACCACCAACTTGGTGAATTTCATGCGCAATGTCCACCGCTGCATACCACGGGGCAGGGTCCTGCTGCGGCCGGAGAAGGCGGACGAGAAGCGCGGGGAGATTTTCGAGAAGGTCAAACCCCTTCTCGGCACGAACATGGGCGAGGTCTCCCGCCTCTTCTTCTCCAATCGAGGAAAGCGTGCGGCACAGAAGCAACATGTCAACCTTATTGGAACAAGCCGGCAGCAAGAGAACGATATAGATTTGGAGTGATGCCCTGTGCGGCTGTAACATAATGATTTCGTGTATGTCTACAATGGTTTATTTAAGAACGGCCTTGCCACCGCCAAGCGGATCAGGCTGTACGTAATACCTGTTGGTTCCGATTTTCCCTGCATGCTAGACCATTGGAGTCCGAGCCCTCACAGTGTCAAGGAGCTCATAGCGGCTTGTCTCACCGCTTCGAAAGTCTGACTAGGAATCGCCGAAGTCTTCTCACCCGAAAGCAGTGCTGGGCTGGACAGGTTTGTGGAGATGCCCAGGGCCGTGAGGCTACGGCTGAGCTGCGGCTCTGTCTTCCAGGTGCTCCAACCAACGCTCGTTGTTGAAGGCCCCGGTGTTCCACTGTTGCAAGCACTTCAGTCTCCAACTGGTGGTAGTAGTAGTAGTAGTAGTAGTAGTAGTAGTAGTAGTTGTTGTTGTTTTTGGTGGTGGTGGTGGTGTTGGTGTTGGTGTTGGTGTTGGTGTTGGTGTTGGTGTTGGTGTCGGTGTTGGTGTTGGTGTTGGTGTTGGTGGTGGTGGTGGTGGTGGTGGTGGTGGTTGTGTTGGTGGTGTTGGTGGCGGTGGTGGTGTTGTTGTTG